GAATGTGCAGGTGCCACATTTGACAGCAGAGAGCTGACTTCAAACTCAAGCCACCTCACTCTCCTCTCTATACCGCCTTAAGAAAATTATTTAGACTCCTGGAACCTGTTTCTTCCTCCATAAAATCAGTATCTGTGCCATAAGATCATTATAAAGTTTACACAAAGTAAATGTAAGCTGACACAAATGCTTGGCTATACATAGTCTGTCTTCCTCAGCAGATGGTGCCCTGCATGTCTTCATCTGCCACCAGCCCTGCCCACTGAACATCAATGGCACAGCCCCACTCTCCAAGGGAAAGTCCTTCTGTCCTGACTAAAACCTAAGCCCAGCATGCCGTTAGGAACTCTCCAACCCAGGCACCCCCACTGCTGAACCACACCGCACTAGCCTTCCACCACACAGCAAGTCTTTCAAAGCTCAGGCACCAAGGCCATGCTGCCCGGGTTCAGAGCCCTGTACTTTCTTTGACTCCTCAGTTCAGGTGACTTGAACTGCTTGACTCCTCTGTGCCTCATCCCCCATCTGTAAAAGAGAGATAATATTAACAATGTTGACCAAGACTGGGTGAGGATTTCATTGCTGGTAAAGCCTTCATAACTACGCTGGTACACAGGAACCAAGTGCTGGACTTTTTATTTTTATGTCAAATGAATATTTAGGCCAGAGAGACCCTGACAGCCAATGTGGTGCCATGGGATGAGGAAACCAGACAGTTCTGCTACAGCATCAGTGCTCCACAGGCACTCCAGGCTCTGAAGACTCAGGAGCTGGGGTGGGGTGGGCACAGGAGGAGGGGCTGGCAGACATTTTTAAAAGTCAACTGGCTGAGTTTTGGGTTTTGGTTTTTGGGTTTTTTTTTTTCTTTTTTTTTTTCCCCAGAGAACTTCTTGTCACCTTGCTGCCATTTTCATTTCAAACGCTTAGAATGTTAAAATCTAAGACATCAAAAAATTAGGTGCCTTGTTTCTATCCTCCTTGACCTTTTCTTAGTGATGTATGTAAGCAATCAGCCCCTGGAGGTCAACATCCAGTGAATAACTACAGAGAAGGAGGTATGGAAAATAAATGATCAGAGACTAGAAAAGTCAGGCCAAGTGACACGAGGGCCCCTTTAAGTGCCTGCCTGAGGAGCACAGCCTTCATCTGCAGAGACCAGAAATGACCAGGTGCCCCTGCCTGTTAAGTAGCAATCTGTCTCTCTCAGCCAACAGTGCCCCCTGGCCCACCCCCACCGCCACACACACACACCTATCACATCAGTAATTAACTGAGGGAAGGAATGTGCACAAAGGTGAGCAGGGGGCTAGCTTCCTGGTCCCCATAGCTGTGAAGTGATTAGCTAAATGGGAATGTCATGTCAAACCTAGTGAGCCTGTCTTTGAACAGGTCAAAAGGATCAGCAGATGTCCCTTCTAAGTCAAAGCTAGGAGTGAACATAGATACTTGTAATTGCTTATGGTATACATATTACACATACACACAGATGTGCACACACACGCAACTGGCCCTCTGTATCTGTGGGCTCTACATTCACTGATTCAACCACCTAGGTCTCAATATGAAATATACAAAATATTCAGGGGTTGCATATGTACTATCCATGTAGATTTTATAAAATGCATTCTTTAAATAATACCATATAACAATGACTTACAAAATACTATGTTGTATTAAGGATTATAAATCATCTATCTAGAGATCATTTAAAGCACATCGGAGGATGTATGTAGGTACTATGCAAACACTACCACCATTCTTATACAAGGGAGCTAAGCATGCACAGGTTTTGGCATCTGTGGGAGTGCTGGGACCAATTTCCCAAGAGATAGCGAGGAATGACTATGTGTATCTCCGCTCCCACTGAATAAAAACTGGCCTTTGAGTGAGAGGGTAAGTTCCCACCCTCAGCTACTGAAGTAACCCAATTATTTCTGCCACTAGGCAAGGACTCACCAATACACGGTAAGAATGCCAATGGATCACACATCTCTTCCGAACTAACTATAGGCAGAGCTCTTAGAAAACAAAATCATGACAATTTTTTAAACATTACATCTAGCCAATAATTTTTTTTAAATCAAAGCAAGAATATCCCATCTCTAAATCTTGATGTACTTTCAATCAAATAACCTGAAAGTCACAGTCCAACATAACCACTTCTGTTAGAGAAGGAAGACAGCACCACATACATCACCGGCTTTTTACTTTATTTTGGTGTTGGGGATGGAAGAAAAGGCCTTGGGCGTGCTAACAATATGCTCTAACACTAAGCTTCAAGATCATAGTGTTAAGGGCCGAGGCTACAGCTCATTGGCATAAGCACCTCCTGGACAAGCACAAAGTCCCAAATTTGATCCTCAGTAACACAAAAAAAGTCAGTTTTTTAAAACCAACTCTAGGGATCAGGATGGACTTAAACAAAGCACTCCTCTAATCCAAAGAAGCTACAGATTGACTATGTGGTCACACAAAGATGTGCCCAGATTTTCTGGCTTAATGATATGACCAAGTACTTAATTCACAGAAGGCTAAAAAGCACCAGAACTGCTGACAATAGGAGGGAGAAGTTTAAATGAGAAGTGGGATCATTAACTGTTTGTGTCAACTTGACTTGAGTAAGAAGACCAGCCTAGCAGAGCAGTAACACCCTGGGTGTCTGTGGATGGCTGACACGCAAGGGCAAACAGAGGAGGGAAGACCCACCCCACATACAGGTGGCACCAACCCACAGGTTGTAGCTTGGCTGGAATAAAAAGGGAAAGGAAAAAGAAGTCATAAGGGCTCCGGTCTTCACCACTGCCTTGGGACACCATCTCCAGTTCCTTCAGAGTTCCGGCACTGACTATCCAGCCAATGTAGACCCTCCCAACTTCCAACACACATGCAGCAGACTCTGCATAGAGCTCCAAGTCTCTGACTTCTCCTGGGTCCTCTGCTCTCCAGCATGCAGACAGACATTTCAGAATCCACCACTTCTAATTCCACAGACAGCCCCTGGAAGGCCTCTCCTTCTGATCCTGTGAGCCTACCTAATAAATCCCTTCTATAATTGCATTCTACATTGATTCTGTTTCTCTAGTGAACTCTAATACAAGAAACCTTCAAGAACCATCAGAAATACCAGTACACATGTCATCAGTCTTCAGTTTATAAAATGAGATTGCCACAAAACCACAAAGGTGACCTGAAGTTTGTGCTAAAAATCTAGGTGAGCAAATGACTGTCTTTCCCTATATTACTAAATGTACAGTAAACTAGACCTGTCTTCCGTAGCAACCAGCACTAAGTCATGACTATAAAGACATGCTCCATGGTAGGAAAATAATTTTCCAACACAAAGGAAATAGAAGAGTCCCTTCCTCTGTAAGGAATACATCCCAGCAATCTCAGCTAATAAGGATGCTTAAGCAAAGACATTTTTTAAATCTTTATTATGGTAAAAATCAGAATTATGACCCAGATACTGTATTAGAGAAATGATTTGACACCTTGACCAAACATTCAGAAGTTTTATAAAAATCTCACGGGTCCAGTACACATCTGATCAGTCACAGCCGACTCTCCCAAGATGGGACCCCAGTATCATTTTTTAAATCTCCAAGTAGATTACAGTGTATAGTCACAGTAGAACACATGAGCTAGAGATTATTTTCAAACTATCTTTCACATCAGAGAGCTCACCTTAGCATGCAAACTGAGGGCCCCTGATATCTAGGAAAAGAAGTCCTTGTCTTCCAAGCCTTGTAGAGGGGCTGAGGAACATGCACACCAAGGTTCCCCACTTAAAATACAGATTAGATGATGCAGAGTCCAGGAGAACCCTTGGTCTATTTCCCAGCAGTAAGCCCCTGGCAGTAGTGTGACAGGCACTAGGGACAGGTTGCGGCATGAGCCAACACACTGAACCAGTGTTACGGTTACATCTAAAATGCCCCCAAAAGGCTCATGTGCTTGAGGTGTGGCTTTGGAAGGTGGCTGGATCACACGGGTACTGCTCTCACCAGGGATCGTCCGGGCTGAAGGCACTGCCAGGACGTAGGGCCCAGCTGGAAGAGGTAGGTCACTAAGCTGTGATCTGGAAGGAGGTGTTCTTGGCCTCTTCTGCTTTCTCTGGTTCTCTCCGCTTCCTGGCTGCCGTGTGCTAGGCAGCTTTCCTCTGCTGTGCCCTCCTGCCACCACATTTCTGCCTTAGAGCTGGTAACCATGGACTAAACCCTCTGTGATTCCAACAAATGGTGAGTAAGATGAACCTCTCCTCCTGTAGGCTGTGTGTGCCAGGTGTTTCATCTCAGTGACAGGAAGGCTAACTACCATAACCAACACCACCTAGGGATGGTCCTATTCTCAGAATTCCACAGAACCCCCTTGTGCCTCTTTGCAGGAGAATGAACACTTTCTTAGCAAAATATGTGCAAAGAATGAATGAGTAAGCTTTCTGGCTATTTTCCTCTATGATATCCACTTTATCTGAATAAAAAGAAGCCCTCAATGTTTACCGCTGCTCTGCTCCAGGCTTCCCCAACTTAAATCGGGCTTTAGATACGTTTGCTTGGTTTTCTTTGAAAGCAGACTTCTGACAGGGATGGACAGAGCACAACTATATTTTAAAATTCCACGAGAACTGATACATATTTGTTTAAAGTTTAAACAAAAAGTTTAAAGGCAAAATTTTACCCAAAAAGTTAAAAAGAAAAGCAAACATATTGCAGGCAAGGTTTTTAAAATAATGTTTTAAATAACAGGAATATTTGAACCATGCATTTAGAAAAGCAGGAAAAAGCTGTACAGAGATATTTAAAGATTAATATTTTTAAAGAAGGATTATTTAATAAAATTAAAAAAAAAACAGGCTAACTTTAATAGCCCATTCCAATATGAGCTCTAAAGCTAGATCTGCTGGGTGCCTCACACATAGGAGACTTAGGTACGGGAATCAGCCTGTTGAAATCCAACTTGGACCCTCCTCATTCTATCATTGAAAGGCAAAGAGCACCTACCTCCTAGGTGGAGAAGTTGCAACCCGCTGCACTGCTGGTGGGAATGCAAAGAGTAGCAGCTACTGTAGAAAGGTGTGGAGGTCCTAAAAAATTAAACACACAATTACCGTATGACCCAGCAGTTCCACAAACGGGTTTATATCACAAGAACCGAAGAGAAAGCCATGTCCCCATGCTCACCACAGAACAATCCACAATAGCCTGAAGTGCAGATAAGACAAGTCCACTGACACATGAATAAGCCACACGGAGTTAATACTTACAATGCAATGCTCTTCAGCCTTAAAAATTAAGGCAACTAAACACATGCAACAACATGGATGAATCTTGAGGATATGCTGCCAAGTGAAATGTGCTCGTCCTCAATAGACAAATACCCCATATGCCATTTATATAACAGTATACGACAATAGTTAAATTTACAGAAATGGAAAGTAGAATGGGAGCTGCCAGGGTGGAGGACAGAAAGAATGGAGAGCTGGTGTTTATCAGGTACAGAGTTTCAGTGTGAGAAAGATTTAAAGATGATAGCGATGGCTGTACAACAAGGTGACAGAGTTCATGCCAATGAACTACACATTCACAAGTCATTAATGCGGCAATTTTTATGTCATGTACATTTTGCCACAATGAAAACATTAAAATTTAACCTAAAAGTAAGGAAGAACAGTACCCAACTCCTAGAGTTGTAAGCGTTAAACAACACAGGAAGTGTGGTGCACGCCTGGCACACAGCAGGTAAGTCAGCTGTGGCTTACTTCCCTGCCTCTGTGGCTACCTGCAGTCAGAATACAGAGTTCTCAGAGAAAAGATGCTTAGGCAGTAGTGGAGCCTCAACCCTCAGAGCTGTATGCCTTCTGCAGGGAGAAATTTCCAGACCTGAACTTTTTGCACAAATTTTCTTTAGAACAATATAGTATCCACTGATAGAAGAAGATGCCACCTAATTTTAAAGTGAACTTCCACACATTACCTACAGCTCAGGCAACCACACAGAAAACAACTGATTTTACTGTCTTTCCTTCCTAAATAGTTTATTAATAATATTGGCTCAAAATCAGGTTCACAAGTAAAGGCGATCATACAGAATCATAGTAGAGGCAAGGAAGCCCCTCTGCCTTTCATAAATAGTCTTCCACTTTTGATTACAAGCAAGACTCTTTGACTTCTCTTTGATACTTTCTTACAACATTTTATTACACAATTTCCAAGTATACATAAAAGTAGGGTTCAACTAGCCTCTATGTAACAACTTCACAACAAATTCAAGCTTTTTTACTTGACCATTTAATAAAATAAACTCTAAAACAAAATAAATTGAAAAACAAAAGTTAGATTGAAACAATTTTTCTACCTAACAAATGTCATGAAGCGCATCACCCCAATTTTTTCTTACTTTCATAGGTCCTTTTCAGGTATCTTCTTACCTCCCCTCATTCTTTTCTTTAAAATTACAGACAAGCCCTTATCTACCTTGCCAAGGTTATTGTACAGCTGCGCTGTCCACCAAGTACATGACTGGGGTGTGGCAGGCAGCATTAGGTCTCTGAGAAATATTTCTTCTTTATATACCACTGCTTGGCTCAACTCAACAAAACAGGCACACACACACACACACACACACACACACACACACCTCCCTCCTCTGTTCTTTGTCTTCACTCTGCCTCTTCTTCCTAATCACTGGACTGGCTTCTTTCCCACCCCTTCCAGCAGCTAAATCGGGGCTCCCAAAATGAGATGGCTAATCCCAAATGTATCTCCTAGAAGACCCCAAATACTAAGGCAATATACTGAAGTACTAGGGTACCAGTTTAAAACCATACTTATTAATGCAGTACCCGTGTATCATATGTAAATATACAGAAATATCACACTAGATACTAAATGGCAAAGTATAAAACCAAAACCAGGTGTGATGGCGTGTGCCTGTAATCCCAGTCCTGGGGAGGCTGAGACAGCAGGATCACTACGAGTCTGAGTTGTATAGTGTGACCCTGTACCAAATAAATAAATAAATAATTAAAATATAGATATAGATATATAGATGCATAAAACCAGAATTCCTATGCAGGTCCTTGCTCTGTGTGTGTGTGTGTGTGTGTGTGTGTGTGTGTGTATTAAAGTTTTCTGATGAATCAGGAAGTTTTATATGCTAATGAGATTCATTTCCTTGTAGTACTTCTCACCTGTGGCAAACCTGCCACCTCTAATTTGTTTTAAAAGGAATTTTAATCACCCAATCAATCAAACGCTTGACCTTCAGCCTTCACAGCTACTTCACTCTGGTCAAAATTGGCACTAAAAATTCATGTTGCAACAGCTCTGCTGTCCTCAAGCTTCAAAATACCAGTGATAGGAATATAATTGGAGCAGATCCTCTAATGGATTAAAAGAAAAATAGTACACAGAGTTTCCAATTCCTCTTCTACCAAGATTCTTTAAATAAAAACAAATACCTGCAATATCATTAAATAAAAGCTTTTCCTCTACTGGATTTTGAAGACATAAATAATCCAAGCTTCTAGACAATGAATTTAGCCTCTTTACCACAAAAACACAGCCCAGTTTGGGTTTAAATCACTTATCTTTCTTTACCCAGAGATAAAGAACGGCCAAGGGCCCCTTCCCATCTCTATGTCTTCCTCTCCAGTCTTCACCCCACCAGCACCCACCTTGCCTACTTTGTCAATGCAGGGGGAGCATTCTTCTCCCCTAGGCCCAAGCCTCATGCTTGGCAACTCCACAAGACATATCCAGCTTTCTCTCACCAAAACCCAAAATACCTTCTCCCTCACAATCCCAGCCAGCCACAGTGCTCTTTTGTGGCCTTAGCTCTTTCCTGAGAGGGCAGAGTTTCAAACATTAGGCATTTCTTGCTTTCAAGTTCTGAGCCATCTACTCCGGCCCAGGGAATGCCAGGTTCTGACCCACCTCCCCACTGCAGCCATTTCCAATACTATCACCGGGGACAACCTGTGTGGTCTCAGTCCAATAGCCACCTAGAGCCTCTCCTCCTTGAGCACACTGCTCCTTTGGCGCAGTCAGTCACATCCCCTTGGAAACTGTGCCTTCCCTCAGTTTACCTGTGTCCTCTCTTCCTGCCTTCCTCCCACCTCTGAACGTTCCTCTGTCCCCTTCTAGCATTCCAACCCATGATCAACCCTACCAGTCACCAACCCCAGAGTTCCATCTTTGGCTGTGCTTTCTTCTCCTCATTCCCTTTGTGGTCTCATCTACAAACACAATTGGCTTCAACTGCTAATCACATCAGCAGAGCATCTGCCTTCCCATTCCAGTGTCCCTCAGGAGCTTTGGTCTCCACAAGCATATGTGTTTGCAGGACTTTTCCTCATGGGTGTTCCTTGGGCATCCTAACATTCAACATCTATTATTGCCATGCACATCCACTCTGAGTAAATGCTACCAACCACCACCTGAATACCACACCCAGAAAGCCAGGAGGCATTCTGGGGTTTCTCTGGGGGGAGGAGGTAGGTAGCAGAAACGGAACTCAGGACCTAGTGTTTGTGAGGCAGACACTGTGCAGCTGAGCTATTTCTCTGGCCCTACGAGGCACTCTTCAGTCTTCCTCTCTTTCATCCCTCATATCCAGTCAGTTGCTCGGCCTTCGTGCTTCTAACTGCACCTCTCTCCAGGACTGTGCAGCTTTGCAAGCCCTGCACAGCCACTAGTTCAAATCTTAGCATTTCTCACCTGCATTACCAGTATATACCACAAATTCCATTTTCTGCTGCTAAACACATGTACCTTTCACAGCAATATGAGCTGCCAAAATGATGTTTTATAATTCTCTGCCAAAAACTCACCAGAAAAATCTAGTGTTTTACCTTCATAATTTATTTTGTATTTGAGAAATCTATACGTTGCCATAAATGCAACAAAACATCAGCCATGTAGAAGCACTTGTCTGTGTTAATATAGCTTCCTCAACCAAGAAAAGCCCTCCCAACCCTTCGACTGGTTAACTCCTGCTCATTGTGACAGCCCCTTGCAAAATGTTTTCACTTAGCTGTCTGGGGTAGGTAACCCTTCTCTCTCTTCTCATGGGTCCTGGTGTTTGGCTCTGTAGTACTGATCATTCATACTACAGACTTTTTATAGTTGCTGCTTACAAACGTGTCCGATGTGTATATGTATAATATAAATATCCATGTGAAAACTTATTTTTCAAGTATATCAAACAATTATAAAAGTAAAAATGATAAATCTCTACTCCATCAGCAGTACCAGAAAGAATGGTTATTTTTCATAAGATAAACCTCCAACTTAATTTTCCTAGAAATTATGAAAGACAAAGGACATTTTCTCTTCCTCAATTAGATAGCTTGGGAAGTTAGTATAACCGAGTTTCTTAGGTCTCTGCATTTGCCTCTTGCCATAATCTTTGCCATTTCGTCTTCAAAGAAGTGGTTTTGGCAACAATGATTACAAGATGTTCAACATATTCAAAAGCAACATCATATTAAAGTCCTAATAAACAAAAGACTCAAGGAGAGACAGCGGACCCTGGCCCACATAAAACTGAGTTTCTTCTATTAGCTCACATCAGCAAGAATGAACTAACCAAAATGACAAGGCACTTGCCACGTCAAGGCTTTTTCCTAATGGTGAGCACATATAATTCCATCTGAAATTACATACCTATTCTGAAATGTATGAAAGTCAAAAGGAAGAAAGTAAATTTTTATACATTGTCAATATTTGAAGGAGGTATCTGAGAAATATGAGTAAAACCTCTATACTGTCACTATTTAAAGCTATACCCAGTGAGTTAAAAGGGGGATGTCATCAACATCAGTAAATCTCATTGATATCAGCCAATCATAAGTCATAAAAACAGAAAGGTTAACCTAGAATTGCAGTAGTTCAAGTAGAAAAACTGAGCTATACTCCATCTAGACACTTGCTAATAAAAAGCTCCTGGGCTGGCAAGATCACTCAGAAGACTAAGTGCCTACTTTGGCAAGCGCAGGGACCAGAGTTTGATCCCCACACCACATGCCATGCCAGCCCCAACCTGGGGTGCGCTGAGTTGGTGACTGCGACCAGGTGTAGTGAT